GTGACCTGTAGGTGATCCTGCTCTGGCAGGGGGGCTGGACTAGATGATCTTCTGAGGACCCTTGCAACCCCTAACATTCTGTGATTCTGTGTGATTAGACTACTGATCATCTTTGTGTTCCCCTTCAGGTGCCCACAGTTAGATGAGTTCAATCTGGTCTCCTGTCCCTAAATAACTGAAATACAGACTAGCTCCAGACCCTCCCTGGGTGAGATGAAGGGAAAAGGGGACTAAGGATCATATCTTGCCATTTTTTGAGGGACAGCATGACAGATGAGTTCCTTCTCCTCTTTGAGACTGGGGAACAGGCTTCCTTCTCCCCTGTCTGGTACTTTGTGGAAAAGGAAAGCTCTTCCCACTGAGTCACCAACTCAGGCAAAAAGTCTGTATGTTGGTCCCAGGAGTTTAGTTGCCGAGCCATCAGACCAGTAGCTTTCACTATCACAGTGAAGACAGAAGAGAAAATTAAGCAAATACTTTGGGATTCTGGCTTTGCAGTGTACCCAGACCATGATTTAATCAAACTGGCTGTGTGTGTGAATATGCATATTTTAAGGTTATAATCCCAATTACTGTGATAAAGGGCCAAAAAACTAAGTCACATCAATCAGATTCCTTCTCAGAGAACTGCTTTCTGAGGAATGCTTTAGTAAGATATATACACGGCAAGGTGAATTGTTAAGACAGAGTATATTTTCTATACAGCCTTCAAAAATCTAATAGTTTTCTGATTTAAGAATGTATGTATTTCTATATATATTTACATATATATGTGTATTAAAATAACAATTCCAGCCACTCCATCTCATGAGCACTTGTAAACAGCGAGATTATCCTACCCGTGTGCTGGCGTCCACTCCCCTATCTGGCAGCGAGACAAAGCAGATAACCGGCAGAGCGTTTTCATCATGCTGTCACTTTGCCGTGTTTCCCACTTTGTTTTTCTGTTTGCTGTGCTCCTGTACTCTGAGAGAGAAATGAAATTATGCTAAGACTGGGGGAAAGGTGTCCAGCCCAAGTGCCCAGGATGTACATAGCATGGGCTTGCTTGCAGAGGGCCCACACACTTGGCGAGCGCGGCGAGTGATGGATGTGAGCCAGAGATGGTGAAGTTCAGGCTTGAATATAATGCACCAGTGCTTGAGATCTATGCTCAGCTTCAAATCAATTGCAGAAACTCCCCTGCTTTGAAACAGAATATTTCCCATCTTTTATGTGACTGTGCAGGGAAAAGAAAGATCCTTTCAGACCTTGCTGTCTGTCCTGGAGAATAACCCAGAGTGGCAGGAATTAATCTCTGAAACACCGCGACAAACTTGAAAAGGCTTAGATTCAAGTAATCAATTTTGGGCAATTTCTGCAATATTCAACGATTTTGCCTCTCCCTGTCTCCCACCTCCATACTATGACAAATAACTGTTGCTGCCCGGAACTGATTACGTGACTGAATAGAGCCAATGGATCAAAAGACACATTTTGTATTCCAATGTGCTTTCTGTTTTGACTTAGATCTTCCACCACCTTCAACAAGAGAGAGACCCCCTGGCTGTAAAACGGTGTTTGTTGGAGGATTACCAGAAAACGCAACAGAAGAAATTATTCAGGAAGTCTTTGAGCAGTGTGGAGATATAACAGCAATTCGGAAAAGCAAGAAGAATTTTTGTCACATTCGTTTTGCAGAGGAGTTCATGGTTGATAAAGCCATTTACCTTTCTGGTACTTCACATTCTTTAATGGATTTTCCTTGCTTTTCATTTTTATTTTGTGATGCTAATGTTTGCTTATTTCCTTAGCTTTTATCTCAGCAAGTCTTTCTTAAGCTCAGTGGCTGTAGCTTGGAGTGGCAAGGGGCAATTCTGTATTTCTCTGAGTCTGCCAAGACTTGTGCATGGTTTTGTGTGTTACTTACCCGGGAGCCATTTCCTGCCATCCCGCAACAATGCAGCAGATCCTGAAATTCACTACAGAGCAATCTTATTTTTGAGGTACGCAGGTTTATGTAGTTTTGCTCACAGGTTGTGGAAAGAGGAGGGTGCTAGGCCAGGAACGTTGCTGTTTTCCAGTGCCAGTTTCTCAATTAGGCTGGCAATTTCATTGGCATATTTTTATAGATTTGCGGTGCAGCCTGAATAAAGTCTGCCTTTATGTGTGCATGTATTCATGTACCACATTGGTTAGATTCTGACCACCATCTGTAGGCTATGTCTCATGCCTCCCAGGACAATGAGTGCCACGGAAACTCAGGTATAAAATTTCAGAATCTCTTTTCTAGCAAAAAAAAGGAGAAATATAATCCTCTAACTCACAGAGAAAAACAAGAGAAAAGGAAAAAAAAGAAAGAAGAAAAAAGATAAAAAACAATTCTGCTTTCACGTATCAGGCTTCGGTGGCTGTCAGTGCCCTCTTAAGGTTACAGGCTCCTTCATGAGGATTGGCTTCGTAACTGAGCCCTTTACCTTTCTGAGCTGGATCCTATCCCCACTGTGTATTTGTCTCCACAGGCTGGTTCGACTCTCTTTCTGGGTCTTGGGGAGACCCAGAAGTGTTGTTGTGCCCCACAAGTGTAGCGTAACACTTTCACCCCACATACAAAGTATTATTTCACCCCACACACAAGGGCCAGAGGCTGCTCCTTGGCCAAGACAAGCTGGCACAGACCGCCTTACAGCCACCCACCCTGTGTAGGGTGACCACAAAGGGACCCATGGGGCCCATCCAAAATCAAGCCTGGAGGCAGCTAACAATTAGGGATACCTTGTTTGAGCTCCCACTCTGACCATCATCTGAAGTAAGGACATGCCCTCGATGTCCTGTAGTGTCCACAGGAAGCTCACACAGCTAGAGCCAAGTAGCCTCTGGAATCACCATCAATTTACAGCTTAAGATGAAAGAAAAGAAGGAAAGAAAACATCTAAACCTTTGAAATACGTGGTCAGGAGAAACCTAACTCCTTTGTTTCACAAAGGTTTTTATGTTTGTGTTTGTGGGATTTTTTTTGCTAACTTGGCTACTTGCTTTAAATGTCTCTTTGAAGGGCTGCAGAAAACAGTGAGTTTTATGAGGTCTATATAAAGATTTCTTTGAAATATTGCTGTATCTTTGAGTTTCTTCCAGATCTTCATTCCACCCTGATTTTTTCTATTTTTTCCTTCTTACTTTAACTTCCTTTCTTCTTCTCATCCTCTCTTCCCAGTTTCCATCCTTCCTGTTCATTTGTTTGTTCACATTACTTCCATAATGCTGTGGTTCATTGGTATAGATTACTGGCATTGTAGTAGTAAGCAGCAGTAGCATGTTTCCGAGCTTCCAACTTCTATCTAGGGGGCCTCATCTCCATAAGTAATGGGGCAGAAGAGGAGCACACCAGATTCAGTAGGAGCTGGTATTACTGTATATGATATACAAAACACTGACAAGATAGAGAGCAAAGAAAAGCTCAGAAACTTACAGGTTGCCATCCTGGGCTAGAGACAGCATCCGTCTAGCTCACTTTCCTGCTTCTCGGCAGTTGACTGCACCCTTTGCCTCACTCCACATCAAGTTTTATTTTAATTTTATATGCCTTAAATCATGGAGGTTTACATTTGACGATCAGAGGAAGGAAATGCCCCATGCTGCCATGTGTCCTCATTCCTAATGCACTAGAGTGTGCACTCACAGCCAAGTATGTCCTGGGCTGCATCAAAAGAAGGGTGGCCAGCAGGTCAAGGGAGGTGATTCTCCCTCTGCTCTCCTTCTTGTGAGACCCAACCTGCAGTTCTGTATTTGGCTCTGGAGTCCTCAACACAAGAAGGAACATGGACCTGCTGGAGCAGGTCCAGAACAGAGTAATGAAAATGATCAGAGAACTGGAAAACCCCTTCTAAGAATAAAAGCTGAGAGAGCTGGGAGAAGAGAAGAGAAAGCTCCAGAGAGACCTTACTGCAGACTTCCAATACTTAAAGAGGGCCTACAGAAAAGATGGGGACAATTTTTTTAGCAGGGCCTGTTGCAATAGGACAAAGGATAATGGTTTTAAACTAGAAGAGCACAAATTTAAACCACATATGTTTTTTTATGAAGGTGGTGAAACACTGGAACAGGTTTCCTAGACAGGTAGTATAAGGAGCATCCCTGAAAAGACTCAAAGTCAGGTTGGATAGGGCTCTTAGTAACCTGATCTGGTGAAGATGTCCTTGTTCATTGCAATAAGGTTGGACTAGATGACCTTAAAGGTCCCTTCCATCCTAAAACATTCTATATTTCTGTGATTCAGAATAAGGGAAACAAGCAGAGATGGAGGTATTAGATTCTCTTTCTCATCCTTTCTCATCCTGAATTTTCTGCCACTTTATTTCCAAATTCCTGATCCATCCTTCCTTCTTGTGTTTCCTTTCATCACAGTCACACTGCTATCTGTGGTTCCTCTTACTGTGTGCTCTGCATCCTCCCTCCCCATCTGTCTTTTCCTCCACACCTTTTCTTTCTTCTAAAGTGTCATATGTAGTGTCTCTGGCCAGATTGGGGAAAGAACCCATGGAGCTGATAGAGAGGAGGAAGAAAAACAAGGGTACATTGCAGCCAAGTTTCATTTCTTTTTATCACCAGCACTGAAGTCTGCAGGTGAAACAGGGAGCACTGACTGTCCCCCACCACCACAGAGCAGGGAGATCTGGCACTAGGCACGGGCGTGTTTTATTTGTACTGAAATGTTGGGGGTTTTTAACCAGTCTTTATTCCATTCTCAAACATAATGTGTTCTGAAACAGTTGGATTAAAGCATATTGTTAAGGCATTTTATTTTCCCTGTAAGAGACAAGAAATGTACAAACAGAATTTGTGGTTAAGGTAGTATGCGTGTTATATTAGGAGAAAGTCACGCCTTTCATACCTGTAATATAATGATAATTTTGTCTACCTAATCAATTTTATCTGTCTACCTCATCTAATCTCATCAGACTTTGTATTTATCCCATGCTTATCATCAAAAGAGTGCAAGTGATTACAAAATCCATCAAGTAGTTTAATCATTGATTTTTTTTCCTTTCTATTCTCAAGTAAACATGTATGAAAAGGAGACTGGGAGATAGGTAGAAGATTATGATAGAAAAGTTGGCTTGAGGAAGGGCAGTTTTCATTTAACCCTGAAAGTTACATTTTTGTCTCCTGAGGAAATTACTTTCTAAAATCATACCAGCCCATGTGAAAGCTCTTCCTCCAAGCTGTATGTTCTTCATCCTTGTGGCTGACAATTCAGTAACTCCTGCAAGTATTCATGGCACTGGACTTGAAAATATGAGACAAACAGATGGCTTGAGACAGAGCTGTTTATACCCCAAAAGCTTGTGTATGCTTTTTTCCTGTGCTGATGTTTTCCCCTATGAGTTTCCATTTAGTACTGTGCACTGGTTTTATTTTATGTTCTTGCTGATCATCATCAGACTCTGATCTAGATCCCCAGTTAGAGAGCAGCTATTGGCCCGTTCCCAGTATAACAACACTCAAAGGTAAGTCAAGCCAAGGAGTTTCGACAAGACCTGTGATATGGAAATACTGTGTTTGATTTTTATTTAGCACCTTCATTAATTTTTCCTGTTGCCGCTCTTTTTAAAGTGAGAATCTTGGCAAGATCCCAAAGTCTTTTCCCCCGCCATTGTGTGCAAAACTGAAATTAAAAATGACAAGCCAGGCACGCAGTTAGTGCTAGCTGCAGTCCTGAGCAAAGAGATGGGGAGAAGGGTCTCTGAGGGCAATTCATCACCCATGCATGAAGGGGAGGCAATGACAAATGGTTCTCTCATATATTTGGGTATGCTTGAGCATCAGTCAGGACACATGGTATTGGAAAACAATGAGCCTCCCAGATGCCTGGCAGCTTAAAATTGCCAATCCAGATGGGTGCCAGAGGATGCCATATACAAAATAAGACCTGCCAGTTATGAACCCCTTGCTACACTGCATCTTGCTGGCTGTCAACCTGTCAAGGAGCCTGCTCTTCACTGGCCAGGCCATTGGGCCTGTAGTGTCTGCAAAGCCTGATTTGGGAGGCTGCAAGAAGCCATGCCAAAGGTCTTTGATGGTTTTGTTAAGGAAAAGATACCAAGCCCTGAGCAACCTCCTCTGACTTTGAAGTCGATCCTGTTCTGAGAGGGGGAATGGACTAGGTGACATCCAAGGTCTCTTCCAGCCCAGGGTATTCTAAGTTCCTGTGCTGGTGCAAACCACCTGGCTGGCTGATCACCTTCAGTCTTAAGAGTTAAACAAGCAGTCAGATTTTTTCGGTGTGATGTGTGGGCAATTTCAAAAATCTACAAATTTGGAGGCACTTAAACTGATTACCTAAAGGGAACCATTTGTCCAGTGCTATACACGGTATTTGGGTTTTGAACTGCAATTTACACTGTTCAGCGTTCTGGGGTTTTTTTCCCTCATTATCCTCATTTCCTTCAAAAATGAGAGCCACTTTAATAAAACTCAACTTTGCTGGTGCATATGCAAGCTGTAGATGCACAGTCCTTTTTGTTAGATCTTTATTCAGATTAAGTGGCTCTTTGAGGTCCACAAGAGTCTCATGTCCCGCAGCACCGTGTTTCTCGCTCTGTCAATGCCCAGCGTGCCCCTGCCAAGGGAGGTGAAAGACAGGGGGAGAGGAAGAGAGGGTGTATCTTCCTGGAAAGTACAGCCCAGCTAGAAGATCTAATTTTAGGTTCACGAGACCTGACACCTTGGCAGTGTCCTTTCACGTTGCTGATAACGCTGTTTTGGCACAGAGCAATCACTGTTTGAGGAATGCAGCTGGCGAGTCGAGCTGAGTGCAGGGTTAACGTTTGTCACAGTTATCAAGGTACCACTGACCCATTTTCAGCTGACCCCTTCCTGCGGCACCTCTGTGGATAAACCCATGTAATTACCTCCTCATTAGTTCAGCGCCCAGCTCTGAAAGGTCACCCACATGCTTCTTCTATTATGTCTCACTGAATATGGTGTAAGCGTTTCCATCAACACCTTGTGACTAGAGCTACATATATGACAACACAAAGCCTTCTGGGAGAAAAGTAGTGTTTGCTCCTCTGAGCAAGAGAAAGCAGAGCAAAATAGAGGGAGTTTTAAAATACCAGACATTCCCCTCATTTATCTCTCTTGTAACATTCTGTTCTACTTCACCTAATTCTCGTGAATCTTGGAGACCAGATTTGGTAGGTTCCATGAAAATTTTGATGCCTTTTGGCTTTGAAGAACCTCTGAAACACTTATCTCTTCATCTGCATTTGGGCTCCTTGCTGAAAAATGAAAGTCGTAGCTCTTCCTCACTAACAGGCTGCTTAGATGAAATCCACAAGATGTGGATATCAAATATTAAATCAAAAGGCACTTGATTTTTTTTGAAGTATCACTGTCTTTGAAGCTATTGTCTCATCTATGCTGTAGTGCAGACAGTCCCTTGTATTCGTACAGCAGGATGTTTTTCCAACGTTAAAACAGAATATGCCTAGATACACATTTTTGCAAGATGCTTCTAGTCTACTATGAAAGTCTTTGCTTTGGAGTGAGTTCAAAACTGAGTTTTAACTGTGATGGTGAGATGCTGAAGCAAATCAAATCACAAGATACGTTTTATTGGACTGATATTTGAAAGCAGCATCACCATTTTTCTTGCCATTTGGAGCAAAAATTTCCTGTTCCTGCAGTTATTACACAGTGGTCGTAGACGTCTGTGTTTCTGAAAAGCCTTCTTCATGCTGACACAGCACAGAGTTCATCACAGCATCCCATCATTTGAGAAGTCTCTGCTGGGCTGCTCTGCTTGTTGAAGCTACTGTATGGAGAAATTAGAGCTAGCCCTGAACAGATTGATTAATTTTACCTGCATCTGAAGGCTGTTTGCAGCTTTCTACATTTTAAAATTTAGGGAAATTGTTCCACAAGTAACTTTCAGCCTTGGAAATAAAACTTGAAAAAAGACAGCTGCCTAGCATATATTGTTCCACAGCATGGTCACAAAAAGCTCCTTTTACAGCTTTGGTATGACTTGTTTTATTTCAGAGCAGGACCCTTTTGTACTGCTGTGTAGCCCTGACCTAAAGCCTTTTCAGTCTGCTATCTTTAGCATACAATGCATTGACCAAATTATGAATATGTAGAACATTGGTAAAGATGAGGTACAACAGGTTTCATTTATTTGTTCTGGAAGGGGTCTTGCAAACATCTAATAAATCCATCCATACTATTAAAATTACATTAAAGACTGCTGAACTCAATTAATTTGTAGGTGGTTTATATTTGTTGCCTGATTATTTCCAGTGAGGAACTGGAAAGTAGTGTTTGGAATTTTAAAACCTCAAAATCTGAGATATAGGGTCAATGCAGTTATGACACTCCTCCTCTTTGTGGCACTGAAATTTATGTAGCACAATTTTCTCATTCATGTGTAGTCGTGATTTTTATAAAATTCAGCCTTTCTCCATACTTCCAGGCTGAAGAAAAGCACTAAACTGTACCTGATCTCAACAGGATCAGTGAAAGAAGGACTCTACATTCAGACCAAAACAGATCCTTTTTGAGTCATTGTTTTTTGTTTTGCTGGCCCTTGCACTTATAAAGGTTGGGAATATCAAGTAGAAAATTGACGTACTTTGAGAGTCTTCTAAACAGGAGTGTAGATTCCATACCTTTAGGTCAACTTTTCAGCTCATGTACTATTTTGATGAGTGATGCAGGAAATTGTGAGGAAAAGTGACTGGGTGAATGTTTATCTGCCTGTGAAAACACAACGATCAATAGATCCTGAGTAGATATGTGGGAATCTGTTAATGTACATTTTTACTTAGCTGCGCTTGAGAGGGGGGAAAAAGAAAAGCAAAGAAATCCTGCAACAGTTAGTTCTGCTTGTTGATTTCAGGTTACCGCATGAGATTGGGATCTAGCACAGACAAAAAGGATTCAGGTCGCCTTCATGTTGATTTTGCTCAGGCAAGAGACGACTTTTATGAATGGGAATGCAAACAAAGAATGCTGGCCAGAGAAGAACGCCACAGACGCAAAATGGAAGAAGACAGACTGCGCCCTCCTTCTCCTCCAGCAATAATGCATTATTCTGAACATGAAGCTGCTTTGCTGGCTGAAAAATTGAAAGGTAAGCAGCATTTGATACATTTCAGTCTATTATTCCTTAAAAGCAGGAGCCACCCAGAAGTCAGAGCAGGGGAGCTGATTGCTTTCCGATGTTTTTTATTACTTGCCCTGTTAGCTTTCTCCCATGCTTTTGCCATTTTTATGCCAATGGTAATGATACTCACCCACCTGCTAGAAATGTGTAACGTCTGTCCATCTACCCGTGCTTTAAATAGATGAAACACAACATTTAGAATACTACAATGGAATTTTTTTCTGGAAATGGTCTCATAACAAGACAATCTGTTACAAGGATCCTTCACATTAAAGGATTGATTCTTAAAATGCCTTTACTCCTCGACAGATATGTTACTACGTTCCATGCATACGACTGTCTCAATTTCTGGCATTTAAGTTGCTCTCATGAGTTGCATTTTAATGTGCCCCTCAGATGCAGTGGTACAACTTATCTCTGACACACACTACCCGTCCTGTTGTTCCCTCTTTAGGGTTAGAATTACTGGTGCAAGACAGCGTCATGTTTTGGTATGTGTCTGCCTGCTTGTTTGTTTTTTTTCTAGGTTAATATATTTCAAGGATGCAGCTTGAGGATTCCTGTCTTTAATAGTTAACGTAGAAAGCAAGAAGCAAGGAAATGAAATTATTCATGGTAAAGAAACTTTTAAAAATATCAAGCAAACAACTCCTCATAGCCCCTAGAGTTGTATTTGTTCTCATTAGACATTTAGCAATTGTGTTTGGCATTCTTTTCCCACGTGGTGGCCAAGCACGTTACCTTACTGTGTGCCAGGTCACAAGAAACTGTGATTCTTGCCACTGTTTCAGAATTATCCAGATTAGACTTAGGCTATCTAGCTGTCAACACCCTGGCTTCTGTTCTAACTAGGACACATGTTTGGGAAGCTGAAGAAGGGCCGTGCAAAGTGTTGCATCCTTGGAGCATGGAGCAGAGATGCACCCTACTGTCTCTTTGGGTACTGCATTTGTCGCTGTTAGTTGTCGCTGTTACCTCGGTCTGTTATTAGTTTGGCTGACTGATATTGTCACCACATACACTCCTCTCTTAAATAATTCATTAGGTAACTGGGAGATTGGTAGAATAACCCAGATGGATTGATAGACCAGGAGAAAAGGAGGAAAGAGGCAGAAATGTAAAAATTTTTAATTCTTACCTAGTTTCCAGTCCCGAGATTATACAATACAATATAGAGTTTTAGATCCATCTGTTCGCAGAATCTGTTTTCAGTTGAATACTTTAGGAGTTAATCTTTTAGAGGGAAGTTTTTCTTTATGTAGTAAGGCCTAGAGGTTTCCTGAACTAAGCCAGAAAATGCAAGAAGTCTGGACAATTTCTTCCATATGGCTAGCCATTGCTTGGGGCAACTGAATGTAGGTTTTTGCAAGATGTTTAAGATGGCTGTATTTAGAAGGGTTTTTCTTCTCATTCTGGCAAGTTTCCGTACTTAATTAAAACTTACTCCAAGCATTTAGATCTTTGGTTCTCCTGAGGGACATTTGGCCACAGCTTGCCATATATGCACAAGTTTAGTATAGAAATATTTTGAGTATGGTATAGAACAACACCATGTACATGACTATTTTTCTGCAAGTAAAGAAAAACTTTCAGAAATGTAAGAATTAAATAGAATAAATTAAGAAACCAAAAAGGTAAATTTGTTTTCTATGAGTTAAAAAATCATTAAAATCTGGCAAATGAACATATTAACAATTTTTAAAACTTTGATAATTAGCAGTTGCCTTGTAGCAAGATCAATGGCACCAGCCCTGGAACTGTGTATGTTGTTGGGGATGAAGCATGCAAAGAAGCCTTGTCTCTTCTAACTGGTCATGACTTATCTCCTATACTAGGTACTTTGCTAAGCAGGCGTGGGGTTCAGTCATTATGCTGGTCTGCTTTACCTTTCCTATGCCATCATAGCCAATATCACTAAGGCAGTGGAGTAGGACATTATGGCCTCTCTTGGGCAACATGGATTCACCACATGAGCCCTCTGTGACGTCCTGAAAACAGAAGTAAAGTGACACTAAAGAAACTTACTTAACTCTGACAAAGGGCAGTTTGTGCCTCATACACAATCACAATTTAAATGTGAACTTCAGTGAAGTTAACAAAATGCATATGTACACATACATACACACACACACACACGTATATGTGTAAATCTTGGGGTCAAAATCTCAGGTCTCAGGACAACACCAGATTTGTGTTGCTGAAAAAGCTTCGACAATTCATCCTGAAAAAAAGGAAGGATCAAAATCTATCTGCACTTGGTAGGATCTACCTTGAAATACTGGGTTTTGAGCAGATGCTTTGCAGTTGTTTTCTTAAGTCATGACCTCCCCGTGGTACCCACTGCAAAAGAATCCTGGGCTGTTACCAGCTCATGAGACAGAGCTGCAGGTGCCCAGTGTGCAGGTTTCAACTCCTGCAATGCCTCCAGAACTTCACTGAGCAACACTAGCTGAAAAGTGAGCCAAAACAGCCAAACATCTGTCATCCCAAGATACTGCTCTGCAATCACAGATGTAGACAACCTGGTCTGAATCCAAGCAACTTTTGTTGTCGGAATAACCTTGGAAATTCCTAACAGCAAGGAAATTTGTTGGTGAGCAGAGATGAACTAGACTCATCAGCCAGTCCCCTGTTATGGTCTGGATATTTATTGAGACTATAACAGAGGTGACAATATATTTTTTCACCTGCAAACTTCAGCATAAGACTTAAAGAAATCATTGGGTTTGTGTACCAGGCTTGGCTGGTAATTCTTGCCCCAGTGTTGTCAGAGTATTCCTATTCCTCTCTTGTGCTGAAGTCACCTGGTGCAGCAGTAACTGTCACAAAGGAGAGTGGGTGAGAGAGTATAGAGGATCTTTTATGCCAGTTGGAAACAAAAGTTCATTACAGAATTTTAGCCAGGCACTCTCTACTGGTATGGAGCTTCACAGGAAAAAAGAACTGGTTTCTCAAAATGCACTGCCTGGTGACTGGACTGCTTATGAGGCCTTGCATACCTGCAATAGCCTGAGGGTTTATGACTTTCTCTACATTCCCTACTCTCTGTGGACTATCCCAAATCCCTTCATATCTGCAAAGAACTCGGTTTGAATGCTTGATTTATGCAGAAATAAGGGAAACTCGTCAAGCTGTGGAATAGTGCAATTTTTCACCACTTCCCATTTTAGACTGTGACAAATCATGCTGTCTTATGGGTATATTCCTTTCCCTTTTGCTTTCCTTTTTGCTTTCCCTTTCCCCTTTTACTTTTTCCTCTTTTTTTTCCATTTCCCTTTTTCCTTTTTACTTTTCCTCCCTTAAGATCTTCAGGGTCCTGCAAACAAAATCTTTTGTAACTTTTTTCTTGTTGACAGTGTGGACATTTTTTTCTGCACCTTTAATGTCATCAGGCAAGAGCGTATTCCGTTTTCTCTAAGTGCCTATAATGTTGTTCCTCTCCTTATCCACTTACTGTGCTTTGTTATTGCCACTTTTCACTATGTGACAGTATCTTGGATGTAGGTCTCATAGAAATGAGCCTGTAGCTCTAAAAATATAAGCCTATACTACTAACTCTCATTGATTAAACATTTTTTGAGCTGCTTTGCATTGATAATTTGCTACTGATGTTCTCAACTGGTCACAGCCAGAGACAAAAGGAAGAGAAGCCAAGGAGGATAGTTCATAAAAGAGGAGATCTCCTACATTGGAAAGATGGCTTGTCACAAAATATTTGATTTAGATTTGTTTCATGCGCTCCCAATAGAGTTGCACTCCTTGTGAGTCCAGCACACAGGAAGGCAGAATAGAACTGAGCCTGGATTATCAGAATGAAATGAGCTCCAGAATTCAGACTAGATGGTTAATGTGCGGAAGAACATGAGCTCCTTCTCATACCAGGGCTATGTTTATTAGTTTTAAGTTTGTATCACACATTTTAGCTTTGCAGGCTGGTTGGAAAATACAACCACTATTTAGTTTTGCATGTCAAATTATTTTTGTTTGTTTGTGTTTTTTTTAATCTTCCAAACAGCTAAGATAGATTTGAAGGGGAAAAGCAAAATAAAAAATAGGTACCATTCATTTAAAGTGGTAAAGTAGAATTTTGCTTTTCAAAAGGATTCTTTTCAAATCTACTCTATATTTTTGATCCAAATATTCCAAAATTTGTCTTGATGTTGCAAATGTTTTTGTCAAACCATTGTCTGATTGCTGTGGAGTAAGACAACAGCTAAACATAACTCAGGTTAATAAAACTTCTGACCTCCTTTCTGACATCTTCCTGCCTTAGGTAAAAATCTGTGATTCCTTGAGGAAATATCTCAATAAATTCATAGCTGTGAATTCTGGGAAACCAAGGTCTTTTACAGTAAAGTGTAAATGTGAATTGCCTCCTTAAACAGACTTTGAGAATAGAACCTGAGTTCTTGTTCTGACAAAACCAGCAGAATATTGTGTTTTCTGCTACTACATTACAAAAACGTGACCTTCTTATCTTCTGGTACATTGCAATGTCTTGTTTGATGTGTTTCTTTGAGATTTTAATTCCTTGGTATTAAATCAGATGCTTTATTATTGCACAGTGAGATGTGTCAGTAGATATTTAGGATCAAATTTGCCTACTCTGACATCTGTTTTCCTGGGTGCTTTGTAAACAGTTGAGTAATGTGGTACCCAGAACGTCACAGAACTTGAGATAGGCTGAACCTTTTATCCTTAAGTGGAACACTGCTCTGTCAGGTGCATTGGAATAAAACATTTTAATTTGTGTGCTTATGACATTTGCGTTTCAAAGCAGAATTCTGAACATTATGGTTTTCTTAATTCAAGCATATCTGTACCTAATGGCATCATCTTCAGAAATCACTTCTTGCAAATAAGCTCCTTTAAAATATTACATCTGTCTTATTTGCTGCAGGTAGCAAAGTATTTCCACCATCTAACAAAGACATCTCTTTATATTTGGAAATCTGTTTTTTTAAACATTTTGAGCAAAGAGACATAAATATCTGCAAGTTATGTACAATACCCTGGAATTTACCTTCCTTTTAAATAACAGTGTTTCTTTATGAGCATAGGAAACTATATTCATGTGGTTTTCCATTTTAAAAAATATAATTTGAAAAATTGAGAAGCTGCTTCTTTGCCAGGCACTGTATTATCCCCTGAAGAGAGAACAGATTGGAAATTTAAATAAATAGATGGCAGTTACAGTAGAATGAACTAACTGGGGATGCATCTTGTGCAAGATTCAGGTAACATCAAGCCTGACAATCTCAAACTCTACACATTGTTTGAAATATAAACAGCATTTAATTGCTTGAGAAATAGAATATTTCACTGAGAAGAAAACCACGCTGCTTTCATTATCACTTTGCACTTGTGAGCCAGACTTGTGGAGTGCTGAAGAAGTCGTGCAGTTACCCAGAGAGGCAAGTCTCACTCAGAAAGGATCAAATTCAGTGCAGGGCTATGTCAGAAGGAGAGACAAAGCTGAGATCCTCTGAAC